ACAAGCAAGTGGGATTATTTTTCTTGCTTTTAACTGCACCCCCCCTTCAAACGGGGGTGGGGGTGGTGATTTAAACAATTTAGAACCAAAGCAGAGAAGCAGAGGTGGTCCCTTAGATTACCCCTCCTCCATTCCTAGGAAAGTTGCCCATCCCCCATGCTAGATCCAAGAACTCTCCAGGGAACAAATCGCGATCGAGCAACGGATGGATTAAAAGCCCCTAATAGGCCCCGAAAGTAATCCTTCAGTTTCGAAGGGACCCCAAGTCAATCGGCATTTAGCCCGGGAGGATTCGGGACCTCTTAAGACGACTCGATTCGGAGCTGAGCTTTGGGCGCAAAAGACCGGAAAAGGAGCAGCGGCAGCCGCTGCAGGCAAGCCCGACAACTTCAGAATCGGTCTGGAATTGAATTGAACTCGGCGCGCCTCCCCGCTCGACGGGCGTCCAGCGAAGAAAGGGGAGAGCAGCGGGCGGGGGCAGGATGGGCTGGCAGGGGGAGGAAAAGCCCCCCAGGGACTCCCGGCCAGCCGCTGCCCTTTCGTAGCCGACCCCGTCGGGAAGGGGGCAGCAAGTTCCGCCCGGGGCACGAACCTGGCCCGCAAAGGCGGCAGCGGCTCCCCGCCGCAAGCCAGCCCAGCCCAGCCCAGCCCCCGCGGGGGGACGGAGCCGAGGGCGGGACGAAGGGGCCTCTCGGGGAGGGGGAGATGCGCCTCCGGCTTACCTTCGCCCAGGACCTGGCCCGGACTCAGCCGCCCGTCGGGCATCGCGAAGACGAAGCGCTGCGGGACGAAGCCAGAGCGGCAGGGAGGCGGCCAGGCGGCCAGGCGGCGGTCCACCTGCGAGGGGGAGAATTGGGGGGGGGGCTCAGGCCTCTGCCCCCCTGCCCCCCTCCCTCCCTCCCTCCCGAGAGCCCCGCAAGAGCCGGGCGGCATCCAGCCGGCAGGGCGGCGGGCAGGCGCTCACCTGGAGGAGGACGAGGAAGGCCACGGGGAGGAGGCGCGCAGCCCGCCGCCAGCCCATCGCCGCCGTCGAAGAGAGGGACAGCCCTGGCGCGCCTTTCGCTGAATGGGCTCCGCCTGCCCTGCCAGGCCTCTAAAGGCGCCGCGCCAGGTGAGGCTCTGCGGGCGGGGCTCCAGCCGGCCCGTCCCCCACCGCCCCCGCCCCCTCCTCCCCGCCAGGGCGCAGGGATCGGCGGGCCCACCCGGCGTGCGAGAGCCGGAGCGAACCGCTGGCCGGAGGGCGCTTCCCGCTGAAGCTGAGCTCGGAGAGTCCCTCCCCTCCTTTGATCGGGCCAAGCCGCTCCCCGACCGAGGGGAGGCAAAAGTTGCCGACCCTCCCCCCGCAGCTGTGCCCGTCGCTCGGGTGGGGTCCCCTTGGCGCCACCCCCGGGACCCTCCGCCGCTCAGTCTTTCGGCGCCCAGCCGGCCTCGGCGGCATGAAGAGCCGGAGGGCAGGAAGCGGAGAGGGCAGCAGGCAGGGCCACGGCGAGACCCGAGCGAGGCGGGGAGGGCAGGTCCTCCTCCCTCCTCGCGCGCCTTGAAAGGCCTCCCCATTTCGCCCCCCTCCCCAGCTGGTTCCCCACAACCAGTTAGGCTCCGGCCACAAATGATCCAGGCAGCGCCCCCTTCTGCCCTAGCTACCTTGGTGGGTTCCCCCAACTCTGAAAGGGGAACCCCTGTGGGGCTTTCTGGGATGCTGCTTTCCACCCAACCACCAACCCGGGCAGGGGGGAAGGGTGCTGAGGTTCTTCCAGGGAACCTCCTTAGGTGATGGGCAGGAGGCGGGACCTAAACAATTAAAAACTACAATTAGCATTTTAAAAATTGGAACATCAGAGATATTTTAAATGCCATTTTGATATTTTAAAGTATAAAATATATTAAAGTTTGCAGTCATTGAGCTAAAAGAGAGTCCTGGAAAGTGCAAAATATTGTTTTATGTTATGTTGTTGTTAATTGTGAAGTCGTGTCCGACCCGTCGCGACCCCATGGACCATGTTCCTTCAGGCCTTCCTGTCCTCTACCATCTTCTGGAGTCCATTTAAGTTCACACCTACTGCTTCAGTGACTCCATCCAGCCATCTCATTCTCCGTCGTCCCCTTCTTCTCTTGCCCTCCATCTTTCCCAGCATTAGGCTCTTCTCCAGTGAATCCTTCCTTCTCATTAGGTGGCCAAAGTATTTGAGTTTCAGCTTCAGGATCTGGCCTAAAGAGCAGTCGGGGTTGATCTCTTCTAGGACTGACCGGTTTGAACGCCTTGCAGTCCAAGGGACTCGCAGAAGTCTTCTCCAGCACCATAGTTCAAAGGCCTCAATTCTTTTGCGCTCAGCCTTTCTTATTTATGTTATATCTGCAATATGTATGGATACAAGTGAATTTATATACTGCTTGCATTGGTACAAAGGACTTAACAGTCTAGACCAGTGGTTCTCAACGTTTGTGTGATGGCGACCCCGTCACACAAACGTTCTACGCATGCGCGGTGCGGTGCGCATGCGTGGCACGCCCCCATGTGTGGCGCGCATGCGTGGCGGCGCCCCATGTGTGGCACGCATGCGTGGTGCCCCCATGCGCAGCGCGCATGCGTGGCGCCCCATGTGCAGCACGCATGCGCTGCGGCACCCATGCACGGCACGCATGCGCTGTGGCGCCCCATGCGCGGTGCACATGCATGGCATCGCCCCATGTGCAGCGCGCATGCGCGGCATCGCCCCCTGAGGGGACAAAATGGCAGATCGCCTTCTTTGGCGACCCCCGAAAAATGGTCGATCGACCCCAAATGGGGTCGCGACCCATAGGTTGAGAACCGCTGGTCTAGACAAAGAATGTTTGTGTTTGTGTGTGTGTTTCCCTGCTCCTCCATCAACCCAGCAACCCCAGCTTTTTTGGGAGCCTCCAAGTCAGACTTCCCAGAGACCAGCTGCAAGACATTTTCCAGGTGCAGCTTGAAATCTCCCTCAAGGAGGGGCGAAAAGCAGGGATCCCTGAGACCCTGGGGCTCTTCAGAGGCATGTGGGGAGGGTGCTGTGAGAAAGAGGCCTGGATTGCATAAGGCCTCCGCTGTGCAAAGCTGCTGCTGCTGAATGAAAGGATCAGGCACTCGGTGAGCAAAGAGGATCAAGATTACATTTGCAAATGCCAATCGGATGGGATCACCTGGTGGGGGAGCAGGGCAGGGTCTCTAAGTCTAATCTAAAGCAAAGGAAAAGTTTCCTGTATTTAGGCAATAGAAGCACCAGTACTTCCATGGAAAAAGCGCTGCAGGCTCCCCTTGGACTCAGGCAAATTGTAATTCAGACCAAGCTTAGAGTCGACTTTTGGCAGGATCCCGCAAGGCTCCTCCTGGAGCTCTTATTCAGCCAGGCCAGAGGATGAGAGAACAGACATCACTGGGCTGTTCGGCTGCAGCATTTCCACTTTCCCAAAGGCAGTGAGCAGATCCAGGCTTGTCCTCTCCCCTTTGATGATGCACTTGGTGTACGTATGTACATACACACACTGTTACACTTCTGCAAAGGTCCTAGAGCCATAAGTGAGGCTGCCTGGCCCTCTTGCCTGCTGCCTTAGCAACAGGAAGGGACCAGGTCAAGGCCCAGAGGGGCTGGGGCTGCTCCTGGCATGGCCGGGGGACGCCTGGGGCAGACTCCGAACAGGAAGCCCCCTTGCACAGGCTCTCAGACACTGACACCCTTAGGAGGTCTGTAGAGGGAATCCTGAAACCACCATTATGACCTTGACTTACTCCATGTATTGATCAGAAGTAAGCGATATTTAAAACCAATCAATTAAAAGGCAATTTTCCTGCACGTCCCACTCCGTGGTCTGGAGGCCCCAGGTCTTCTGAATTTCAATCCCCAAAGTTAGCAGGTAAATAGTGTTCCTCTTTCTTTGGCTACCATCCAACCATCCTCTCGGAATGAAAACCACTCATTTTGGGGTTTCCTTCAATTTAAAACCTCAAGAGTGTGTTCACGAGAGAGGAAATAGGCAGAATGCTCCGAGAGCGCCCTCTGGTGGCATCTTCCTGCATCGGTTGCCTTTATCAAGTGGGGAAGGCCCCTCCATTTCTAGAACAGGCAAAAAGGAATCAGAAAGAACTTTTGGAAATTCTCATTCATTCGGATTATGGTTGTCCCAAAGGTGCTTTTTTCCAAAAAGAGGAAGGAAGGAAGGAAGGAAGGAAGGAAGGAAGGAAGGAAGGAAGGAAGGAAGGAAGGAAGGAAGGAAGGGAGGGAGGGAGGGAGGGAGGGAGGGAGGGAGGGAGGGAAGCAGAAGAAGCAGAAGCGGAGGAAGAAGAAGAAGAAGAAGAAGAAGAAGAAGAAGAAGAAGAAGAAGAAGAAGAAGAAGAAGAAGAAGAAGAAGAAGAAGAAGAAGAAGAAGAAAAGAAGAAGAAGAAGAAGAAGAAGAGGAAGAAGAAGAAGAAGAGGAAGAAGAAGCGGCTTGCATTAAAATGAAATGCTTTCAAAGGGAAAAAAACCAAGAAGTTCCAATTGCCTTTTGAGAAAAGCACTTTTGGGAGAATCAGAAAGAGCCAATGTGACTTCATAGGGTTACATACCAGCTTGCTTTGAGAAAACTTGTTTTTGAAACTGACAGTGAGGCACTTGCTTTTGTTAAAGTGCAAGTGGTCCTGCCTGACACTGGAAGGCAGCTTCCCAACTGGTTGCCCAAAGTCAGCCACAGCACCGTGGAAGAGACGTTCTCTTTGTGACTCTTCCTCTAATTCGAAAAATGAAAACTGGCACTTGGCCCTGGCTTGTCTTTCTCAGATAGACTGCTCAAGCAAACAGAGACTTTTGCCCTGCAATTACCCACCTGCTAGTCACTTGTGCACAACGGAGGGCAGGGAAAGAGGACGATGGGCTGCCTGGGGATCCTGCTGCTGCTTTGTCTCCTTCAGGTAGGCTTGTCGTCGTGGGTGGGATCCCAGACAGTGCGGATACTGGAGAATGGTGGGGTGTAGGAAATGGATTCTGCTCCTGGGCTGACTAGTCCTTTGGAGATCTTGGACTCTGGTTTCCATCAGTCCCTCCCAAGCAGCACAGGCAGCAGTAGGAAAGCATCAGAACCCGCAACAGGCTTTGGAACTCTCTGACGAGCCCTACTCAGTGGAGACGTTGGGGATGGAAAAGGGACATGAATGAGCTAACACCGAGTCCTGTTCATCCCAACCCAGTCCAGCAACAGAACTTGGCCAAGTCTGGCTGTCAAGTAAGTAGACTGATCCATCCCTAGTAGCTGTAGAGCAGGACAGACCCCTAACCCCCCCCCCCGCTATCTGGGGAAACAAATGGAGCAGGAGAGACTTCATAAGGGTGGGGAAGAGGGAAGATCTGACCTTCGTCTCCAGGCAGCAGGTTTCAAGCACTCACTCTGGGGAGTCCAGAGGATGCTGCTCTGCTGTCAGAAAAGGAAAAGTCAGCCATGCAGTGGTTGGACAGAGCCCCCCTTCCCCACGAGGGCTTAGTCCTGATCCTGTAGGCAAAGGCCCCTCATTCCTTCATTGCAAAACCTCCAGCCACTAAGATTCAAAGTCTAGCACAGCATAGGCAAAGGATCTTTGCTGGGCAGCAGCCTTGCCACCAAAGAAGCCTCCCCAGAATCGTTCCAGAACTGGGCATCAACACTGCTTCCCCTGACCTACAAGAAAGAGGGCCAGGACTGTAGGGCAACTGTTTATTTATTTATTTATTTTCAAATATTTATATGCCGCCCAATCCCAAAGGACTCAGGGCGGCGTACAGAGTTAAAACAATCATAAAACAATAAAATAAAATAATACAGTCATACCGCGAGTCCGATCATATCCCGCCCCCCCCCCCCCCGGGGACATCAGCCCCAGACCTGCCGGAACAGGAGAGTTTTAACGGCTTTCTTAAAGGTCGGCAGGGTGGGAGTAGTTCGAACCTTAGGGGGAAGTTGATTCCACCAGGTCGGAGCCACCACAAAAAAGGCCCTTCCCCGAGGGCCCGCCAGCCGACATTGTCTGGCCGACGGGACCTGAAGGAGGCCCAATCTATGGGACCTCACCGGTCTCTGGGAGCTGTGCGGCAGAATGCGGTCCTGTAAGTAACCTGGCCCTATGCCATGAAGGGCTTTAAAGGTGATAACCAACACCTTGAATTGCATCCGGAGACCCACAGGAAGCCAGTGCAGCTTGCGGAGGATAGGTGACACGTGGGCATACCTTGGCGCGCCCACAATCGCTCTCGTGGCTGCGTTCTGAATCAACTGCAGCCTCCGAACGCCCTTCAAGGGTAGCCCCATGTAGAGCGCGTTACAGTAATCCAGTCTTGAGGTGACAAGGGCATGAGTGACTGTGAGTAAAGCCTCCCGGTCCAAATAAGGCCGCAACCGGTGCACTAGGCGAACCTGTGCAAAGGTCCCCCTGGCCACAGCCGATAGATGTTGTTCCAAATTTAGCTGTGAGTCCAGGAGGACACCCAAGTTGCGTGCCTGCACTGAGGGAGGTAAATTTGCCCCCCCCCTCAGGACTAACGATGGACCATCCAGTTGGCCTTTGGGAGGAAAGACCCAGAGCCACTCGGTCTTGTCAGGGTTGAGTCTAAGCCTGTTCACCCCCATCCAGACCCTCACATCTTCCAGGCACCGGCACATCACGTCGATTGCTTCACTGAAAGGACACGGGGTGGAGATATATAATTGGGTATCATCCGCGTACTGATGATACCTCACCCCGTGTCGCCGAATGATCTCACCCAGCGGTTTCATGTAGATGTTAAAAAGGAGGGTGGACAGGACCGAGCCCTGAGGCACCCCATAATCGAGGCGCCTAGGGGTCGATCTCTGTCCGCCCGCCAACACCGACTGCGACCTGTCAGAGAGGTAGGAGGAGAACCACCGCAATACGGTGCCGCCCACCCCCATCTCTCCGAGACGACGCAGAAGGATACCATGGTCGATGGTATCGAAAGCCGCTGAGAGGTCAAGAAGCACCAGGATAGAGGAATAACCCCTATCCCGGGCTCGCCAGAGGTCATCGGTCAGTGCGACCAAAGCAGTTTCAGTGCTGTAGCCGGGCCTGAAACCAGATTGAAAAGGGTCCAGATAATTAGTTTCATCCAAGGATCGCAAGAGTTGAGACGCCACCACCTTCTCTACAACCTTCCCCACAAAGGGGAGGTTGGAGACGGGACGAAAGTTCTTCAAAACAGCTGGGTCCAGGGAAGGCTTCTTGAGGAGGGGCCTCACCACCGCTTCCTTTAAAGTTTGCGGGAAAGACCCCTCCATCAAGGAGGCGTTGATTATCGCCTGGAGCCAGCCTCGTGTCACCTCCCTACTGGCAGAAACCAGCCAGGAGGGGCACGGGTCCAATAAACAGGTGGCGGCATTCATTGCCCTCACGGCCTTGTCCACGTCATCAGGGGTCACAGGCTCAAACTCGCTCCAGATAACATGACTAAGACCAGCCCCCAGCAACTCGGCTGGCACTGCCCAGTCGGAGTCCAGGTCTCTCTGAATCTGAGCAATTTTGTCCGAAAGAAACTGAACAAACTCCTCAGCTCTCCCCTGCAAGGGGTCCTCCACCTCCTCCACTTTAAGAAGGGAGCGGGTCACCCTAAACAAGGCGGCCGGGCGAGATTCTGCGGACGCAATAAGTGTGGAAAAGTGAACACGCTTTGCCGCCCTTATGGCCACTAAATAAGTCCTAAGATAGGCTCTTAATAGTGATCGGTCAGATTCAGAGTTACTGGCCCTCCAACGTCGCTCTAGACGTCTCTTGTGGCGTTTCATCTCCCGGAGCTCCTCAGTAAACTGTTGATGCAACAGCCAACCATTCAGGGGAGGGGGCTAAGCTGCTTTGCTTGACAAGCAAATTCTTCAGCCTTTCTCACTGAACACCCAGGGAATCCCATGGCACAATATGCTGCAAGGCCAGGTGTGGACTGAAAACATGCACAGAGACCGGCTGGCTTCATCCTGATATTTTCTCTCATTTAAAGCAAATACAGAGTTTCGTAAGGGTGACTCGGGGGCAGCAAACTTTCAACAGGACAGGAGATATTTTCCATGCACTGCAAACACACAGCCTCATGGAAGAAACCACTGCAGACCCATTAAGTAGCAAGACACACAGACCAAAGTTGAGAGAGTTTCGGGATCCTCTCCCCCCACTTCTCAGTTTTGGGAAGGGGTCTTCTTCAAGAGTTACAGTGAAATCAAACTGGAAGGAGGTGGGTATGCTTGCCTCTCCCCCCCCATGGATCCTGCGTCCCTGCTGAGAAGTTCCATCTACGCACAATCATTTTCAGCTGGGAAACCTTTCTGCAAGGTCAGGCTGAGCCTCCTGGTATCTCCTCCCTGCCTCCCTGGGGTGCCCATCATCTTTTGACCAGGAAAGAAGAAGAGAAACTGCTTTCCTGCTCAAAGTCCAGGAAGATGGAAACCAATAAACCTGAATCACAAAGGTTGCCTCCACAATCACAGCCCACGAGTCCCCTTTGAGAGAACCAAATCTCTAAACATAAAAAGTTCTACACTGGGAAAAACAAACACAGGAAAAATGAGGAAGACAACAATCATCTCCCCAGACTTCCAAGTTCAGTCAGCTTAACCAAGCCAGTTATATATTATTATCTGCTCAAAGAAGATTTTGGTTTCAGCCCAGTTCAGAGTTCACTGCAGGGATGATAGCTGGAAATAGTTATCTTTCATTTTTGCTTACATGCTGTTAGGTCTAAGTCCATATTGCCTTACTCAATTTTATAGACCACAAAGAGTGATAGCCAGCATCTTTGGGAAGACCGGAGACAGAACATTGATATTCTGGATCCAGCTCACAAGTGGTCCATCCTACATTCCCAGAAGTTTTTAGTGGGTGATAAAGATGACATCTAATTTTCATTATTGTGCCACTATATAAATAGTCTTAAAGGACAGCAGCTTTCTGGGGCAAAATATCCTGAATTCCCTGATGTATTTTGTCAGATGCTTTAGAGGGCGCTCTTGGGTCATACAAAGCTTTGTCACAGCTTCTCTGTGATGTGAAAATGGGCCATGTGGTGTGTTGGAGTGCAGGGAGAGAAATAGAGATGCAACTTTTGAGCCCAAAAGATTGTCTGCAAGTTAAATGTGATCCTTGCTACAGAGTGGTCCTTTCTTCTCACCCACCCAGGCAAAGACTGGGGGGGGGGGGAAGCCTTTCTTAAGATGGATTTCATAAACCTGCCTCCTCTTTTTTACTCATTCTGCCTGTCTCTGGGAGGGGAGCCTCTAGTGGTGGGATTCAAATATGTGAACAACCGGGGTTCTCTGTATGGATGCCACATCTGAGAGTCCATTCTGGGCCTGGGCAACAAAAAATTAGCTACCGGTTCTGCCGGAGTGGTGCGAACCGGCTGAATCCCACCACTGGCAGCCTCCCATCCTGCCTCCCCCAGTCAAGTCCGCGCTGCTCCTTTCTGGCTTGCCTAGGAATAAGTCCTAATCAACTGGATGGTTTTCTTTATGAATACATGCTGGAAATTAAAACTTACAAGCAAAAATTCTTTCCAAATAAGTAAGTTGAAGAGGATACAGGCTGTTCATGGCAGCACTCACAAGAAGGGCAGAGATCCGGAGATCAGATGGGCAATTCCAGTTGTGAGAATCCCTGGTGAACCGCCAGAGGCCAACACTTTGTGCAAAGGGGCCTGTTCATTGCACTCCTGGGAGTTTTCTCTAACTAAGAAAGTCGCTCAGTGCTGTTCCACTTGAAGAGAAATGAGCTCAAAAGGCTGTGGTGACAGAAAAGAGGAGGCTGGCAAAGGAGAGCCTCAGGGAGATTAGGCTGCTCCCCATTTTAGCTTTAGACCTGGGGCATGAAGCTTTGGGGCAAGCTCTCTCTGCTTTGCCACAGAAGGAATCCCTGGGCAGCCTTTTTCTCTGCTTTCCCCTAAACCCCTCACGACTCAAAAGGAGTCTAAATCGCCGGCCCCTTCCTTCCTTGCCTGCGGAACCAGAGACCCCTGTCTTTCTTCACAGGAGACCCGTCCGGCTGCTCAGGCGGAGGTGCTGCTTTTTCCAAGGTCTTCATCTGGCCTGAGGCGGCAAAAGAGAGACTGGGTCATCCCTCCGATCCTTTGCTCTGAGAACGAAAGGGGGCCTTTCCCCAAGAACCTGGTGGCGGTAAGGACTTGGCTTCTGGCACCTTCTACTGGGATTCTCTTGCACATTTTTAAGTTAGTTAGTTTCCCATCAGGAATTTGTTTATTGAATTTGTTTGCTTGCCCATCTCGCTGCAGGGCAACTTGGGAATTACCCACAAATGCAGGACCCCAAACATTTCAGATTGTGGCAGTGCTGAGGGAACATTTTGTCTAAACCCCTTGGATCTCCCTTCAGCCAAGCTTTGGGGCCTGCATTTCTGCATTGGGCCAGGCAACGCTGCCCCCACGGTCTGCTCTGCCCCAGGCCGCCCACGGGCCCTGCCCCAGTTCTCCCTTTTGCGTTCAGAAGGTGGAAGGGGTTGCAGGACCACCCCCACCCCCCATCACTGACCTCTCACACCCCATCTCCCCAATCAGGTCAAGTCCAGCAAAGAAAAAGAGGGCACCGTCTACTATAGCATCACTGGGCAGGGGGCCGACAGCCCTCCGGTTGGCACCTTCATCATCGAGAGGGAAACCGGCATGCTGAAGGTGACTCGCCCGCTGGACAGGGAGAAGATTTCGCGCTACCAGGTGCGTCCACATCATCTGCTGTGGTTATTCATTTTGCTTTCAATTTGTGGCGGCTGCATTGGGTGGCTGAGGAGGGCCACGTGCTTAGAAATCTGCCCTGTGGATTGGGAGGGATGGCAAAGGCCACTGTGTCCTCCGGGGGGCCAGGACCGCTGCCAGGCCGTTTGCTGCCCCACTAGAGTGAGTCGGCAGAGGGGTTTCTTTCCTACCAGAAAGTCCTGCAAGAAACCCCTTTTAGAAGCCGGCGACTCTTGAGGAAGGCCGCTACCTTCTTGCTCCTGAAGCGTCTGCTTTCTGTCCAATAAACATTTCCCATCCCCTTTCGTGGTGGTCTTTAGAGGGTCTGAGAGGTTCCTGCGGACCTCCATCCCAGGGCAGGCTCAGTGAAAAACGCTGCCTGGCTTCTCTTTTCATCCCCGGTGAACAATGGCCTTTCTCCACCTTCAATGCAGCTGTTTTCCCATGCGGTGTTAGCCAATGGCCAGACAGCAGAGGACCCCATGGAGGTGATCATCAGTGTTGGTGACCAGAATGACAACCGTCCACAGTTCATCCAGAGCGTCTTCAAAGGGTCTGTGGAAGAGGGAGCTAAACCAGGTAGGGAAGTCTGGTTGAGGTTACAGAAACCTCACTCCTGTTGCGTTGCTGCCCTCTGTGACGCAGGCACTATCCCCAGGTTGGCAGCCTGGTAGAACCACAAATGCAGAGCTCAGGACTTGCTGCCTCTGAGACTAAATGATTTTTTTCCAAGTGCCTGGGGAGCCTCAGGCTGGGACGCTGTGCTGCCTCTTAAATGGGGCCTTGTTGTGCCTGTCCAGGTAGTCCAGTGATGCAGGTGTCGGCCACCGACAACGATGACGCTGTGGACACCCTCAATGGGGTTGTATCTTACTCTATTCTCAGCCAGGAGCCCCCAGAGCCACTCAGCAACATGTTCACCATCAATTCAAAAACAGGCCTCATCTCCTTGAACAAAGCGGGCCTGGACAGAGAGGTGAGGGGGCTGACTGGGGTGATGACCCACCTAAGTCACGCAGATCCCACGATGGTCACTCCTCTCCCCCGCCCCCCAGCAGTCAAAAGCAATTGGAAGGCCAACCTGCAGAACTTCTTGGCTGAATCCTTCAGTGAGGGCCTCGGCCAGAGCCGGTCAATGGCTGGGGATTGTCCCCCCCTGCCCTCCACTCCCCTTTCAAGTTTTCCTAAGAGCCACAACATTGGGTAGGCAAGAAGAAGTCTGGCTTTCCCTAGCAATAAGGGTCAATTTTCAAGCCACACTTGCCAGCTGTTGAATCCCCAGCAGCAATTCTGCAATCCTGAAGACCCCCCGTTTGAGTAGATGCCTCTTTTTAGCCTCGGGGGCCCAATGAAATTCTCTCTTTTCAGAAAGCCCCCAAATACACCCTGATCCTGCAAGCCGTAGATATGGACGGGGATGGCCTTTCCACCACCGCAACTGCAGTGATCCAGGTAACTCTCGATAACCTGCTGGGAGGCCTCCATCCCAGAGTGCCACATCTGCTTTCCCTCGTCGTTCTTCCCTGGATCTGCCTGGTGTTGCGCTTTGCCTCCCAGAAAGCCAGAAACTTTGCCATCATCCCTGTTAAGGGCTCTTCGCCAGTAACAGCCAGCCCTGGCAGGGTTAATACTTCCTGCTGAGTCATGGCTGGCTTCCTGCCAGGCCTCCCCAGGAAGGGGCTGGATTGAGAAGGCCAAAAATGGCCGGGCTGCCAGACGAGGATGGAGGGCGAGCCCAGGTAAATCTGTCAGTCCCACTCCAGCAATGTGGCCGGCAGAAAGCAGAGATTTCCTGGCAGAAAGTGGGGGTGTCGCCCAGGAGACTGGGCAGGCCTGCAGAATCCCAGCCCCTCTGGGCACGCAGTAGCGTCCTCCCCCTCGCAGGGCATCAGGGCGCCGGCTTCCGGTGATAGAGAGGTACTGCGAGGGATGGAAACAAACTTGGTTGGGGTGTGGAGTGCACACAGGTTTTTCTGCTTGTATCCAGGTTGCCAGCTCCAGTGAGGGCCATCACACATCCCTGAGCGTCCATGCGCTGAACGTGTTCACTGGCCTTCCTGCAACCGGCTTGGCCGTGCACCTCTCTCAGCTTGAAGCCCCCAACGAGGCCTGGATGGAACTAATGACAAGGTGGGGAGATGGGGAAGCCGCTGCCTCACTTGGCCAGCCGGGAACCCCACAGCCTCACCCGGCTGTCTTCTGATTGCAGCACGACCAGCATGGACGGGCGCATGGACAAGAGCAAGCTGGCCTCCCTGCAGCTGGAAACTGGCACCTACAAGCTGCGCTTTGCCACAGGAGAATACTGGCAGCAACAGGGTCTCACCAGCTTCTACCCTTACGTGGAAGTAAGTTTTCATTTCAGCTGCACAAGAATGAGCAATCGCTCCCAGCAAACAGGTCTTCCTGAGGCCCCCAATTGACCCCAAACGGAGAGGGCCACAGGCTGCGGTGCTCTGGGCCTTTGGGCTTCTGCAGTCAAGAAGATCCCCCTGCCAAGCCAAGAGGCCTCCAACTCTTCACCCTCACTTGTTCCAGGTTGTCTTTACCATCACAGAGGCCGAGCGAAAGGTGCACATCCCACTGCTGCTCAGCCCCTATTCCTATGTGACCTACCGAGGGAGCTAGTGCGAGAGCCGGGGCTTCCCTTGGGATCCTGGCCCACCCAGAGGGGACTGCACCCAAGACCAGCTGTGACGCCAGCTCAGGGTCTTCTCTGAGGAAACACAAGCCTAATAAAAGATCTACCTTGCAAGGGTGTTGTGAGGATAAATCAAAGATTGCTGCGCACCGGCCATTTGTCTGAAATTTATGAAAAGCCCCCTTAAGACCTCTTTAATACAAAAGGCATGCAGGCGAGCCCAGTCTCTTTGTGGTGGGCAGCTTCCTCCACTGACCCCCAAAAGCTGCAGGAGGCTTGGCTTGCCTGTGGGCTGATCTCCTGCAGAGGATGTTGCCAGCTCTGCTACGTGGGGGTGGAGACAAATCCTGCAGGGCCCTGGCCAAGGGTGTGTCCCAGCACGGAGGTCTCTAGAGGTTTGAAGCCCAGATTGTCCAACGGGATCCCGAAGGAGGTGAGCTTTGCCTCGTACGTTTGCAGCAGATCGTTGTGTGCCTGCGAGGGGAGAGGGGGGCAGCGAGGCTAAACAGTGGGCTGGGGACCAAGAAGGAGTGCCCGCCCCCTCTCTGCAGGACAGCTCAGGTCTCCCTGTTTGGAGTCTGCCTCACACAGCCAAGGCAGTGCCCGCTTTCCCTCTTCTGCCTAGAACAACTGCAGGCCTGAGCTGAGGGGGGGGGCTCAGGCCAGGCTTTTCCAGGAGGCAGCTCTGCAAGCATGGGCAGCTGTCCCCAGGACTGCAACAGCTGGGAAGGCTGCATTCCAACAGTCTAGAGGGGGACTGCCTGGCGGTGGGACTCTGAATACCACAGGGCTCCATGGATGCTGCAAGCAGAAACAGGTTCCCCAGCGAAGGATCTCTGAATGCCCCGTGGCCTGGTGCTGCCCCTGGCCTCGTCTAAGCTCCTTGGGGAAGCTCCTTCCACTTGCGGCTCTTACCTTGCAGACTCTGGCCAGCTCGTACTGGAGGTCTTTGATAGCATTGTTTTTGGAATCCAGCACATCCTGCAAAGCGAAAACATTGGCCTCTTAAAACTACATTCAAGGCACTGCCTCCAAAGCAGCTCTCCAGCGTCTTGTGGTCCTGCTGACCAAGGTGAGTCTCTTACTGTTCTTTTAGGAATAATCCTTCTTATGCCCCCTCCCCTCCCAATCCCCATCCTGTCCTGCCTCTGAAGTCTGACTCAAAAGGCCCACCTGTTTTCAAGCTTCTCTCAGCAGCCACAGGACTGAGAACCATGAGTACTTTTATCTTAAAGACACTGACGGTAATCAGTGGGGGGTCAATGTTGCCCCAAGTACCACACGGAATTCTGGTAAGAAAGTTCTAGAAGACAAACGGGAATCCTGAAGGGGTCCCTGCCAGTCCTTCCAAGGAGAAGGGGGCTCCCTTTGGAAGTCAGAGTAAGGCTGACTTGCCCCCCAGAAATGGAATTAAAACATGTCTGATGGGCTCAGTACCAGATCCAATCCGGGCATCGAGAAAGGACCAGCAAAGGGGCCTCCTGCATGAGCAGCAGCCGAGCACAAGAATGCTGAGCGCCTGACAGCAAAAGCAGCTGCCGGAAGGAGGTGCAGGTCTCCGGGTCTCCCATTACTGGCGCCGACAGGGCCTGGAATGCCTGAGCTGCTCAGCCCAGTCCTAAACAGGTCAGATTGCTGATACTGATTTCCACCCTCCGGCCAGGCCAGAAATTGGTCAGCAGAGGAAGGACAAGGAGGATCCCTACAGTAACATTTCGGGCAGCTGCATCTAATTTCCAGAGGTTGGGTGGGTCCGGTACCTCCAGCTTGTGGGTGACCACAGTGAGAGCGCTGGGATCGAGATTGGAGGCAGCCAACACCTCGTTCAGTTGTACTTCCTTCTTCTCCAGAAGGCTGGCAAGGCCAATAAGCTTCCGCTCCAGCAGCAGGTTCTTGAAACCAGTTTTCTGCTGCACCTCGTTAATGGCTTTGGTGAACTTTTGGTACAGGTCATCGCGCTCGTCCTGAACCTGTGGAGACAGCAAGGCAACATCCCTCCAAAGCCAACAGCAGGGAGCATTAAGCGATCTCCAGCATCAGATTGTGCGGCTATTGTTAAGGATGCCCAGCACCCAGATAGAAGATAGGTAGGAAAATATCAGCCAAGAAACAACTGCTCAGGAGCAGAGCCCTCTTTGCATGCAGAAAATGTCCTTAGCATCTAAAACCTGAGTGCGAAGGCACTAGATAATGCAGAGGGTTGACCCACCTCTAAACAGTTTTTGATCTATGCCAAGTGTGATGGCACAGTGGGGGAGAGTTCCATCGGCTATTTACAGAAGCGGGCTGGCTTCTCCCTCCCTCCCTTCCATCCGTGCCAGGATCAACCACCAAGTAAAGGCTGGCCCTCAGCCCTCACCTTGCTGAATCTTTGCTGCAGCACTTCATGTTCCCACTGAAGATCCTTCAGGTCTTTCTCAGTGACTTTCAGCCGGGCCCGAATACTCTAGAGGGGAAAAGGGGATCAAAAGAGCTGCAAGACCTTTGTAGGTTGTGGGAATGAAGAATGCTTGTTGGGCAGACCGTGCAAAAGGAGGGTAAAAAGGTGAAGGAGGTCTCCAGGGTTCTTTTACACCCCTTAACTTTCATTCCTTGAATAGCAACGCTTGCCGAACCCGGCCCATGCCACTAAAGGCCCTAAACTCTCAAGGGGTCTATAAACTGTTCCTAGCCCAGGAGCTCCATTCAGGTGGTCCACAGAAAAACGGCAGGAGGAGAAAGCACCCACCCTACAACACTTCCACACCACTTTCAAGAGGGCCACAGTAACTTTAATTGCTGGCATTACCTCATCCCAACTACCCCCTGCTCTGCAAGCTAGCTGGAATGCCTGTCCCAGTCCCAAGGGCCCTGCCACTTACTGCCAAGATGGCCTTGTCTTTCTCATAGTGAGCCAGCTTCCGCTGCAGCTCGGAGACCTCATCCCGGGCTCGCTGCAGCGGCTCCGCCAACCTTTTGTTCTGCAACAGCACTTCAGCCATTTCCTTCTCCAGGTGATCCTCTTTCTTCTTCATCTCCTCCATCTGCTCCTGTGTTCCAGGAAGAGGGGGAGCATCTCAGACCTTCAAGGCCAGCAGTCGCCACGTCCCCTCTCAAGCTCCTCCAATGGTTCCTTCTCCATTCAGATCCCACGTGAACATACAAAGACCAAGCCGGGACGATAGGATAATGCAAAACCTTGCATGTTCTTTGGTCGATTTCCTAATGAAACCCTACTGTGGATTTTTGTTTTTCTTCTTGAACCAACAAGTGCTGATACCAAAGAGGCAGTAAATAAAAAGCTCCCTATAATCACATGCCCTATGCCAATAAAGGAATACAAAGCTTCCAATTACAGCAAGGCCCGGCCCACCATGGTAGGTGTGAATCTTCTAGTCAGACCAGCCAAGCCAGTCCCACCCAGGGCTCCGGCTGCTCTGTCGATGCCAACAGAGAAGGCCACTCTGTTGTTTACCTTGAGAGTATTGATCAGTGCCAAGTTGTTGAGGGTGACATCGTTGTAGTAGTTCTTGATGTCGCTGAAGGCCTTCTCGTGATTCTTCATCAGCGTGTTGATCTGGCCGTTTTTCCTCTCCTCGATCTCGTGGATTTCTGTCTTCCTGCGCAGGTCAAGCTCATCACGCAGCACCCGCATCTTCTTCTCATACTTGGCCTCAATCTCTGCAGAGGCAGCACCAACCAGGCTGGGCTGAGTGTTCCACCAGGCCAGTCACTCTCCAGGTCTCTATCCTTAGCTGACGGCTCCAGAGGAAATGGGGAAGATATCACTAGGCCTGAAGATCCCCCAAGGGCAGTGGACCACATCCCACCCCATAAAGCACGAGACTGTTTGTACGGCTTTACTGTATGCAAGTCATCTGTAGACAGATGTGGGTGATGGACCCTCCTTATCCAGGCCCGTCCTCCTACTTTGGAGACATGGGAGAAAGCTTGACTCTACACTTGCAAGCATTCACACTGCCTGCTGTAAAGCAGTGCTCACATACTTCTAGGTTTGCCCGAGAAAGAAAGCCGTAGCCACTGAGCTGTGCTGAACGGAGGATGCTGAGTTTGGTGAAGGTGGGCTTCCACATTCCAGATTATGTACCGAGTCTTCAGACTGACCTTTCACTTGTCTCTCAAAGTCATTGCGTAGATGTGTCAGGTCTTCTTGCTGTTTCTGTTAAGACAGCAATGCTGCTCAGTGACAGGGTCTGGCAAAGGCTGCTTTGCCAAAGGCAGAAGCAGACACAAAGCTGGCTTGCTCCGGAGGGCACAAAGCAGAAGAGGCAGAAGGACCCACCAGTCGGAGGTTCTTCACCACCATCTCGTTGGCCAGCTCCTGCTCTTTCAGCTCCACCTTCAGAGTGCGCATGTCTTTGCGCAGCTCCATTTCCTGGGATCGGTGGTCCTTCTGCGCCAGCTTCATGGCCACGGTGCCCTCGGCCTTCAGCTCCGGGAGGTTGTTCTGATGCTCGTAGAGCAGATGCTTCACCTTCTGCTTGTACACCTGGGGTGACCAGCAGAGAGGCTAGCCTGCGGCAGGACAGCGCCCAGGGTGAGAGCCTGGGGAGCCGGAGCCAAGGGAGGAGGGTTCGCCGGTACCTTGATCTCCACTTGGTGACGCTCCTCCGCCTCCTCCATCTCCCGGTCCTTGTTGCGCAGCTCGGCCTTCTTCTCGTCCAGTTGCCGCCGAGTGATTTCCCAGAAAGTGTGGATCTTGTCCCGCTCCAGCTGGAAGTAGTTGCGCTCCTCCCGCTCGCGGTCCAGCTCCTCCCGGATGCGGGCCATGTGCTCCTCCAGCTGTGAGAGGCCCCCCGCAGGCTCAGCCCAGGAGGGACGCGCCGCCCCGGCCGGGCGGGTCCCTCGCGGAGGACCCAGAAGGGCCCCCGCCACCCCCTCCCCCGGTGCAGCCCCGGCCGCCCCCCCGCGCGCCCACCTGCTCCTTGGACATGCCCTCGGGGGGCAGCGCGTCCACCAGCGCCGCCGCCGGAGCTTTGACGCCCTTGCCCTTCTTGCCGCCGCCACCCTTCTTCTCCGCCGCCTTCTTCTTGGGCGCCTGCGGGTCGGGCGAGGAGAGGCGCGGTGGGTCCCCCTGCCCGGTATCGCCCCCGGACCCCAGGGAGGGACCCCCGCGACTCCTGCTCGGGATGTCGGCGCGGCCGCCAGGCGGGCCCGCAGCCGGAGGGGAGGGAGCCGGCGCAGCTCCCCGCCCGGCCCGGCCGAGACGCCCCCGAGGCGAGCTTGGCGGCCCTCACCATGATGCCGCGGGACAGAGACGCTCGGCCGCCGCGTCTCCAGGCAACCGTCACCCAAACCTCGCGAGAAGCGCGGGCCGCGCAGCCGCCCCTGACGACCGCCCTGGCAACGGGGCGGGGCCGCCGTGGCTCCCGCGCTCGCGGGCTGGGCGGAGGGGAGGGGGCGGCCTCGGCCGGGATTGGGCCCCGCTACCCCAGTCCCGGCCTTGGAGGGGGCTCCGCTCGGGAAGTGCCCGCAAAGCGGGATCAGCCCCTCCCCCACATTGTGCTTAACCAGAAGAAGGCACTCCTGTCCACGTACAGAGTGCCACTTGGCCTGCAGTGTCGGTGCCCGATTCGAGCGTTGGGCAGCCCCGGCTCCCCCTCTGCCCGGGCCCGGCAGCGACCCGGCTGCGGGAGCGGCAAAGCCTCGGGGGCACCGCGTGCTCCCAGGAGGGCTCGGCGCTTTTGAGCAGCGGCTCCCGCGCGGAGCAGGCGAGGCGCGCCGGTCTCGGTCGCGGGAGGCGCATCTGCAGCTCCGCCCCGCCAGGCCGGTCCCCCGAAGAGCCGCCACGCTGCCCTCTCCCGAGCAGACGGCGGGTCGGTGTCCGGAGAGAAGGCGGGCGCCAGGCTCGGCCAGGCTCGCCCCCGGGCTGTTCGCTGCATGCCGGAGGCCGGGGGAGCATCGCGCCCTTCCGTCCGCAGGCACGCGGGTGACACCCTGAGCCGTGGCACTCGGCTTGTGCTCAGACGAGCCCTCGCCCTCCTGAGGTCAAGAGAGGCGACTGCTCGGTTCCGATGCCCGCCCGCGGCTCGCCCCGCCCGGCGTCTCCTCCCCTTGCCCTGCGCCGCTCGACGGCTCCCTGCCTCCTCCGGGCTGTAATGCGGCGGCGGCGGCGGCCGGGCGCGCTCGCCCCCCCTCCCCGCCCTGCGCCCTCCCCCGCGCCGGGCCCGCTCCTCCCCGCCAGCGAAGTGCGCTCAGGCGGCGGCGGCTGCAGTGGTGGCGGCGGCGCGGAGGGAGGCGGAAGCGGCGCAGCGAGCATCTGGTGCAGCCGGGACGGATGGAGACGCCGGGAGGGGCCGCCCCGCCGGGTGAGTGACTCGGCCGGCGCGGAAGGCGAGGCGCGTCTGGAGGCGGCTGGCGGCGCGGACGGGCAACTGTTGCTCGAAGGGGCTGCCAGATGGGGAGCCCTGGCGGGGCCCAGAGGGTCGGCCCGACGCTGCGGCGAGGGATGCGCCGGGAGGGGGAGCGTTCCCCGTTCGGTGGACAAAAGGCTTTCTGCCCTCGGGGAAGGACAGGTGAGCGGAACGGGATCGAAGGACGGAGCCTGCCCGCCAGAAACGGGCTTCTCCTGTCAACTTTGGATGCCCTTTTCCACTTGCAGGGCTGCTGAAACCGAGGCGGCTCCAAAGAGCTAAGGCGGCTTCGGCAAATAAGCCTCCCCACCACCTCCCCCGTCGGTCTTTAGTCTTTAGGCGCTGGAGGCTAGAGACGCGGCGGAGCTCGTGGCCGCGTTTAAGCCAAAGGGAACTGAGTTGCCCGAGGGGCGGCAAGGCAAGTTGTGGCCTCTGGGGATGCCTGGAGCACGCAGTGGGGTGTGACTGGAATGCCCTTGGACTCCTATCGCTAAAAAGCATGTGTGAATGTGCGCGAGGAAGGAAGCGTGCCTTTTGGGGGGTCGGTACCTGCTACCACTCACAAAAGCTTCTAGAGCTTTGGGTGTATTGCAGCCTTGGTTTCAAGAGCTTACATGCCTGGGTGCCCTGATCCAGGCGGGGTGTTTGTTTTTACCATCCTGGAAACTTCCAAATTCCAAAGGGGGCAGTGACTTGACGGGATTGATCAGTGATCCCCAAAATTCAGTGCCACCCCCCCCCAAACTGATGGTTGTAGGGAAGGGCTGCCAGTTTGGCAGATTCAGCCTGGGTGATTTGGACCTCAGCGGAAGCTGCCGGGCCCAGCCCCCTCTTCCCTTGCTGTGCCAGCCTGCAGCCCTGAGCCAGGCCCGGCTGAGGTCCTATAACGTGAGTCAGCAGCAGCGGTCCTGGGGGTGGCGGTGAGAGTCTTCCAAGCCCCGTTTTGACTCAGGGCGGCTGCTGGATCAGAGAAAACCAGGGAGGAGGTGGAGGTGGGGGGGGGAGCAGCCTGCTCTGTGCCCAGGGAGGGGCTGCTGGAGGCAGGTGGAAGTGTAAAGGGGACCTGAGAGGGTTGGAAGGCAGCCCGGCTGAGAAAGGGCTTCTACCAAGCAGCTCTCCAGCCAGAGCAGCTCACAAGCCTTGAACTCTCTGAACTGACTGCATCCCTCCAGTCTTGTCCAGTCTCAGCTGCAGCATCTCCAGGCCACACAGCTGACCTTTCTGCTTTCCGTGCTGCAAATTTCCCACCTGCCAAAAGAAACAGGCGAGATCCAAGAAGGTTGACTGAGTGTCTCCTTGTTCTGAGAACTCTTTCCAGCCCTCCCAGAAAGAAGTGGCCCCTCTGAGCAGCTACTTCAGGATGGGGGGACCCGTGGTTGGCTCTTCGTGCAGGCGAACTGCTTGCTCTAGGCAGAGACACCCCAGCTAGAAAAGGGAGCCAGGCCAAGCGTGAAAGTGGATCAGCAGAATTAGAGAGAAGGCAGACAGAGTTTCAAATGGGAAACGAAAGTAATCCACCGGGAGGAATTGGCGGTCCAGTCCTTTAGGGGAACCATTGGGGCCAAGTATGGAGAGCTGTGACCCTTATTGGGCTGCTTGAAATGCAGACCCTGAAGGGTGCTTGGCCTGCTGGAGGTGGCAGGGCTTGAGCTGCCTCCTCTGCCTCACAGGACCCCTGAGCCCAGCTCCACCCCTCCCCCAAGGCAGAGTGGTCCCCAGCATGTTGCCCCCAGAGCGCCCAAGGGATGGGTGTGATCTCTGCTGGAGGAACTGAGCAGGGCGTGGGCTTGTCAGAGGGAGATTCCCAACTTCCTGGGGGCACCCTGGTCCCAGCCCTCTGGGTGCAGCTCCTGTGCATGAAATCAGTCCTGCTGCAGAACAGGAATAGCCACACCAGCGTGGCAGACTGTGGTGGGTCGGAGGGAGGCAGCCGTATGCTCCTGCCTTTACTGAGCGTGTCTGGCCAAATGCTGGAGGCGGAGGAGTGGATAGGCAGCCCTGGGGAGGAGGAGGGCATTTACGAGGGCCCTCAGGCCAGCAACATCTTAGGGATCCTGCTGAAATGGCCACCACCAGACATCGTCAGGTTGCCCTTGCAGAGCTGCGGGGCCGTCCCAGTGCTCCTTTCCATCGGTGGTGGGCACATGACTTACGGGAAGGGGCAGGCAGACCCTGCTTGAAAGGGGCTTCTGGCTGACTTCTGAGGCCGTCGGTCTCTTCCCAGAAGCAGCCAAGTGGACAACAGGCTCTCAAACCCCCCCCCCCCCAAGCAAAAAGGCCAGATGAAGAGGGGCAGAAAAGAGGCCTTCAGAAAGGGAGATGCTTCCAAGCTCAACTCTTTTTGCAAGCTGGTCATGCTGGCCTCAGCCTGCTGAGACCCAGAAGTATCCCAGTATATTCACCTCTCCTTTGCGACTTTCCCACACTCTGCTTGTTAAAAACCTGGGCATGAATAATTCAGGACTTTGAGGTCTGGGTGCTGTTTTTCTCCCTTCTGCCTGGCTTCCCCTCCCTCTCCTCCCCATATATAAAGCTGGGATGTTCCCCAGGAACCCACAGCAGCAGCAGCCTGCCCCTTGCCAGCACCCCAGCTGGCTCTAGGAGCCAAATCAGTTTGTGGGTTGCAAGAGCTGGAAGTCTCTTGTGCTGCCATAAAAGGCCAGGACCAGTAAGGAGGTTTTGGCCATGGCTTGTGGCTCCACTCGGGTTCCATCTTTAAATTCTTCCCCTAAATTTGTTCCTGCAGGTGTTCAGCCCGGCCTCCTGTCACCTTGTTCTCAGCCGCAGGAGGGTGGAGAGGAAACCCAAGGCCGCCCCACCTCTTGGCTTGTTTTCTGCTCTCGAGGCTTGTGCCAGGCGTCGGTCCTCTCGGCTGACCCCCTTCCAGGGTGCAACTGCCCTCAAATGGATTTGCCTCCCAAGGGTCCCTCAGACCTTTGGGGGAGATACGTTTGGGGACAGTCTCAGGCTTCTGCAGACGAGCAAATGGGGTATCTGAGCAAGAAGCAGCCGTGAGGACCTGCTGAGGGAGGGCTGTGGGTCAAAGCTCTTGCCTGGTGCACCCGCTTGTGCAGGCAATCACATCCATTCACATCCAGACACAAGTAGCTACACCTCCCCTCACTCATTTTCTGCTTGCAGAGTTTAAACTCCCCCCTTGCTGCAACTCCCCTTCCCTGCTAACTGGCAACAGTGATGGAAAAGGACAACCTGGGTGATCCAGATGGCATTCCGTCAGGGAAGAGGGTGCCCGAGGAGAGCCAGGCTTGCAAGGCTCCTTCCAGAATGCAGCCAGGGCAGGACCACTGCATGGCCTGAAGTGCCTTCTCTGAGATGGCTCAGTTCCTTCCCCCTTAGAGACACCCCCCCCCCCATGGTTCATTGGAGCAGACACTGCTGGCAATTCAATGGCAGGCAGGTGTCCTCAGAAAGGCAGCTGCAGAGAGAGGCCCCTGTGCAGTCAGGCTTGCTGCCGCTCTCCCAGGGCACCTCCAGGAGGCCGAGCCTCCCCCCCTGCAGAGGGGTAGAGCGTTACTGAGGCATACCAGGCAAAAAGCCAGCTCTGGGGCCCCATTTGCCTCTCCCTCCCCAGGACAGATCAGCCTTTGTCTTCTTACCACCTGCTCCAAAAGAAGCCGGCCTGTTGTCTCTGCAGGCGCGAGGCTGGGTGCCAGGGTGGAGTCTTAGGTTCCTGGTACCCCACAGCTGCTGCTCATCAGCTCTGCAGACGCCCGTCTGGAGGGCTCTTCTGAGGTGGGGGGTGCTGACTGCACAAACAGCCAGCGGTCAGGAAATGGCCCTCCTGGGAGGGGGTGGACTCGGGCTGAGCAGGCAGGAATTGCCCAGCCGAAGCGGCCATCGGTGGCAGAGCAGCCCCTCTGCAACCCACGCCCAAGGCCCCCCTTCGCCAACAGGGAAGAGGCCAGGGGAGGGGGCCTTTACGGGGGGGGGGGTTGTGGTCAGTCCCCTGAGTGGCGCTAGGAGCCTTCCTCCTCCAGGTGGCTCCCGCTGGACAGGCAAGGAGCCATGGCTGAAGCTGGTGAAGTGCCACCCTTCCCTGGTGAACTAGGAGGCAGCTGTGAGGCTGAGCAGGCGGCCTCTCCATCCCAATACCCCCTTCCGCAATGCCCCCTTTTGTCATTTCAGAGCTGACCCAGGAAACCCCAACACTGGAGGCGCAGACCCACATCACCCTCTCCACGCATGGGCGGGCGGACGCACCCCGCAGCCCCCCGGCTGAGGAGGAAGGAGGGGCCCCGGTCCCCACGGCAGGGCTGCTGCAGGTTGCAGAGCGTCGGCGTAAGTACAGGGCTAGGCGGAGGGGGGGGTTGGGCTTCATGAGGCTTCCAACAGAGGAAGATCTTGAGCTCCCTCACCCACCCACCGTCCCTTCTCAGAACCCCTGAGCAGCGTTTCCTCTCTCGAGGTGCACTTCGACCTCCTAGACTTCACGGAGCTGACAGATGTGTCTGACCAAGAGCTGGCCGAGGTCTTTGCTGATTCCGATGAGGAGAATGCAGCCCAAGAGCCCCCAGCTGGTAGGCGACCCCTCCAGAGTCTCGTGCGTGCGTGTGTGTGTGTGTGTGTGTGTGTTTGATGATGGGGCATTCATTGTCAAGCATATCCTCTGCTGTGAGTGACAGCTGAGGCACTGCTGGCACCAAGGCTTCCTTGCTTGCTTTTGGGGGTTGCCCCCTCCTGCCTTTGGCTCTGCTTGTCCCACCTGACCCTCCAGTGATTGTAAGGGGAAAGCTATGGAAGGACTCTCCCCTCCGACCATGGTCAAGGGGTCACACATACAGCTGAGTGCAGCCACTGTGGGAGTTAAGCAGGAGCCCTGAACGTCAGGGGTCAAGAAGCAAAAGTAGAGCTTTGCTCCCTCCTGGGGGATTCTGTGCCCCCTTCCCCATGCAAACAGGTGCCTCTCTCCGTAGATGGGGCTGGGCGGGGAGCTAGAGCTGCTGGGCAGCCTCCATTCGGTGGAGGGGCTAAAGGCAACCCCTCCCCTCCTATTCCTACACAGGACCACATCCCCACTCGACCCCCAGAGCCGGCTACCTTCGCTCCCCCTCCTGGACAAGGACAAAAGCTGAAGCGGGGCGGGAGAAGAAGCACCTCGGCGATTCCAAGCTCCGAGCTGAGGCTTTCCTGGCTGTGGAAAAGCCAAAAGAGGAATAAGTGGGGGGAGGGCAGGAGCCCCACCCAGGTGCCAATCTTCACTCTTGCACTGTCCGTCATTTGGGACCTTAAGGCACCTGTTCATTCCTCCTGCACAACTGGGACCTTTTCAAGCTGCACCTTGTGCCAAGAGCCCCCCTTCCTCCTTGCCCACCACTGACTTTGCCCATCTCCTTTCAGACCCCAGCAGACACCCCCCACCGCTGGGCTTCCCATGTCCTGCAGGCACTTTGAACCTTCCACTGCTCCTTTGGTTGAGAAGGTAGTCTGAGTGGGGGGTGCTCTCCCAACCTTATTTGGGGAGGCTGGGGGTGAGAGCTGCCGAAGCCCGAAGGAGGGCGACTTCAGCCGTGTGCCTTGAGTGCTGCTGGGCTGAGCCAGGAAGCTCCTCTGCCAAGGCAAGCAACTCATTATACCAAAGGAACTGAGGGGCGAACACAGCACCATCTCGGGGGCACTGAAGCCACGAGAATCCTGGAACTTTGCTCCGCTCCAAGCACACGTCGTCTCCAATGGCCTTAACTCTTGCCCATTGCTCCACAGCTTTGTGCAAAGTGCACAGCACCAACGCAACTGGCCCCAACTTCAGCTGGGCTCTAGGATATCTCCCTGGAGCCGATGCCCACCTATGTCGCAGCAGAGTGCCTTCCTCAGCCGAAAAACTTTTCTCGAGAGGCAGCTGGCCAGGGGTGTGGCGTGGCAGGGCTGGCAAGGCCCAGACGGCTGCTGTAGTTGCTCACCAACCTCCCAGGGGATCAAGAGAGCTGAGCCAAGCAAGGAGAAGCGACGGGCGTGAAGCAGGATCCCAGGTGCTTCCAGAGCCCCCACCTGTGACCAGACCCTTTGAGAGGAAGAGTGAGAGTGGTTCAGGCTTCTGGGGGACAGCAGAGACCTTCTTCCCCCATCTCCCCCTATCAGGAGGGCCTCCATGGAGCTGGAGGGGAGCCAGCCTGCAAGGCTCCCTTGAGTTTGCCTTCTCCCTTCAGTCACTGATCCTCCAAGGCACCCGTTAGTTCAGCCTTCACCAGTTTGGAGTTCTTCATGACCTTCCCACCTTTCTCGGTAAGAAGAGTGGGACGGGGGGTGGGGGGCTACGGGGGCAGACTCCGAGCACAGTGTCCCTCCCCGCCCTCTGGATGCACCTTTTGCCTGCCTGACTCAGGACAGGGCAAGAGTTTGCATTGCTAACTCAAGTCATTCACTTCAGCCGAGAAAACACCATATAATCTGATGCCGGTTGCTATTAAACCCCGCCTGCCAGGGAGCTCAGCTTTAGGGGGAGGTGGCTGTTCTTGGCACTATCAGCAAGGGGCCTGGCTGGTGCTCTGCCACCCTCTCCTGCCCTGTTTTTGCAGCTCTTGCCCAGCCTTCCCCGGACTGTTGGACCAGGATGGGCTGCCCAGCCGGCACCCCTGGCCTTGTTCATTCAGTCAGTCTGCGGTCTCTTCTTCAGCAGCAACCAGCCCAGGAGAAGGTGCCTCTATTAGAGCAGCAGAGGCACAAGGGACAGGCAGCCACCCGAAGCTGCCAGAGACAGGAGACATCCTCGCTGTGGCCAGCCAAGATGCCTGCCACGCTTCCCTTTGCTTTTCCTTGCTGCAGCTGCTCTCCGGGGCCAAGAACGGGGAGAGGCTCTGCGGATGAGGCCTCCCACTTCAGGGTCACTTGGGCTTGGAGAGACCCATCTGGCTGACTTGGAGATCAGCTCCCAAGGCCACCCGTGTTACATCCAACATGAAAACCAAACCCCAGGAAGGCAGCTCAGACTTGTTCTCGGTGGGGCTTTTTTGCAAACCAGAAAAATAAAAATTCCCCTGGTTGGTAGCAAGAATGGCTTCAGCTCTCCATATCCTTTAGGGCCACCCAGAGGCACTGAAGCAAACTTTTTCAATGCAAACGTCATAAGGGGGCGTGGGGAGAGGCCACTCCTAGGCAACAATTTCATCTGGATTCCTGGATAGACATGTAGGCAGGGATCCCCCTGGCACAAAAGGGGGGCAACAGGGATGGGCCAAGCAGAAGTCCTGGTCCAAAGCCCATCAGCAACCCTCAACCCCCCTCCCCCCAGCCCAGTCCTATGCAGGTCCAAGTTTGGAGCGGCCACCTCCTCCCTTAAGCAGCACAACAGCCCCCGTTGCCCTTGCAGGCCCTGCTGAATCTTGGCCACATCCTGGCTGCATCGGGGATGGACGCCCCAGTCTTCTTGACATTCCAGGCTGCATGTTGGGGTCAAGCACAGATACGCCAAGTACCAATTGTTGGCTTTTCCTCAGCTAGACAGTGTCAGCCTCTTGTGCAGCAAACCCCTTACAAGATGATACAGCTACCCTCGCCTGATTACGTACAGCTGCGCAATAAAAGAGAGATGCTTGCTGTTGGCCTAATGGTTAGGGCACCAAGGAAGCAAGGCCCAACGCACAAGGAAAGGGGTGCACATTTGCATTCTAAACACCAAGGAGCACTTTCTTGGGCCCCAGCATCAAGGAAAGAATGGCTAAACTCTCAGGAGGAAAGCAAGATCTTCACAAGGGCAGCCAACTCCAGTTTTTTGCAAAGCAAGGTCCGCCTGGGATCTCACCAATACTCCACCCAACCAGTCTGGTGTCCTCAGTACTTGGAACCTCCATCTTTGTTGTGTTTCTTCCGTGCTCTGCGTTCCCCCTATTTTACCCCCCACCCCTTTGGATTCAATTCTGCCCGTACTTGTACAGCACCCCTCTGCTACCTCCGATGTTCTGGTAATTAAAGTTGTTTCAAATGGTCTCTGTAGGGTTTTTGCTCCCCCCCCCCGATCCTTTTCTGGCAGTGGGTCAGCGCATATACTGAGAAAGGAAGTCATAGCAGGGAAGCATTTTCCACTTCTGATCAAGGTGACCTCTGGTAGCTTCTAAAGTAGACAGGGCCATGCAAGTCAGGAAAATGATCTTGGTTTAAGGTAGTTTCTTTTACTCCAAGCCAGGACTCACGCAGACACTGCAGGCAGAAAGCTTCAGGGCTGGGGGATGCCTGCATTTCTCCAGGCAGAGCATCTGTGAAAACATGGCGGGAAAATGGCATTTGGGCTTAAAGACTGTCGGTCTGGATGGACCCAATCTAAGTCAGTACAAGGCATGTTGATAGATCTCCCGGGGACTGGAAGGCAGGGGCAGACCTTCCCTTCTGCAGCTTGGAGATGGGGGGGGGGAATTGATAAGGGGGCAGCAGCACAGGAAAAGGCAGAGGACAAGCAGCCCCACTTGGGCTTGAAATACCACGTCCACATCAGACAAGCTTTGCGGGTGGAGCCCTGCCGTTGTGGAATACCTGGAGTCTGAGTGGAAATTGCAAGCTATACACTGGGGCAACCTTCCAGCTGGCCTTGTCGAGCCAAGAGCAGAATTCAGTCTGACACCCCGACTGCTACCTGCAGGAATTTGGCTAGAGCAAAACCTATGCCGGCTGGAAATCAAGATGTTTGCTCCTCAGCCCTTCTTTTTAGTGAAATATAAATATTGCCTCCAAGACGCATTCCTTTTTTTTAGGACCGAAATTCCCTTTCTTCTGAACTAGGATGGATAACCTCCCAAAGTATCTCCAGGAATGTCTTCAAAACCTGGTGGCCTCAATCAGGACCTTTTCAACTTCCTGTAATATGTCAGGGTCAGGACCGCAAACGATCAGAATCTATGCAAGGGGAGGGGTGCCTCGAGTCACGATGGCCATCGCTCGTGATTCTGTTGAAAGAATGGATGATTCGGTGAGCAGGCACACAACCCAGGTGACACAGAGAGGGCAGGGCCAGGAGACTTGAACGGGAGATGCTGTTACCCAACATCCTCCCTCGTGGCTGTCAGCTGGGTCACTATACTCATAATAGCTAAAACTACCAAAAATGGGATTTTTTCAGTTAGCCACTTTTAGAGGATGAAATATTTTTGGAGAGAGAAGAGAAACAACATTGAAGGCCGCCCACAACCCTATCCGACTTCAATATTTATACTTAGCTTTATTTAAAGTGATTTTAGTGCTTGTGATAAATTACTGTGGTGTAAAGAGTCCCATAGTCTCTTTTCAAGGCTGACAGAGAAGATTCTATAATTCACCCAGTCCTGGCAATTGCCATTATGTCGCTAAGGGGATGGGAAAGGAAAACCAAGTCTCTGGGTCCATCTCCACAGTAGATGGTCAAAAGAACGACTTTCCAAACGCTGCCATTTTTACAGCCTGCCCAGCTGCAGCCATTGTCTTTGCTGAACTATCATAGTCTGTAAAGAGGCCAGAAAAGCAGGGATGATATTAGCCAGTTACTGAGCGGGAGGGGGGGGGCACCCATTTTCCATAAAGTCATTTGGCAGCCCTTTCCCCACCTCTGCCAGTTACAGCCAGGACCAGACTCCCTCAGGGAGAGCCTCGGAGTTGGAAACTCAAGGAGAGTTTTGACCTCTGTCCAGAGGTGGGAGGGGCAGCATCCTTCTCCAGCCTGGGCCTGCCATTCCCATCTGGCCCTCTTCTGGCAGTCTGAGCTGCTTCCCTTCAAGAAGGACAAGGAAGTCACAGGCCTGCTGGGAACTCCGTGGTGCGGCCGAGGTCTCTTCTGTTTCAGGGAAGCCACACTTAGGCTTCTAGCTCCATATTGCGCTCCCTGAGCAACGACTCTTTTCTAAGACTGAGTCGAGCGCATTTGGGGCATGTTGTGGAGTTGTCGTAGAAGCAGTCCCTATGAGAGGAAAGGCAAAGGGCCCGTTAGCTTCCTTCTTCTGGAGGAGCCACCCGCCCACTGGCTTCCACAGAAGCAGCAGCAGCAGCTGGTCACAAATGTCTGCCCTCACCTGTGGAAGACGGCTGAACAGTCCATGCACATTGAGGTGTGGCTGTCAAAGGGGAAGAGCACGTCTCCCTCCTTGCAGAGCTCACACACAAAGCCCTTTGCTTGGCACCGCTGTGAGAAGAAAAAGAGAAGGTGGTGAGTCACGGGGCCAATCCAAGCCCCTCCACAGATGTGCCCTTCACATGACTACCAATCCTGGGCTGCCAAACGCCTGCAACCCTCATATAGATAGATATTTAAGTGGTGATGGGGGGAATTTTCCAATACAAAATATTTTAGAGAAAAGGAAAATTAATAGAAGAAAATGAAACATGGTGAGCTCAACACGACAGATATTTTTAGAGAGTTTTGAAAACCAAAAATCAGCAACTTCAGAATCTTGCAAGTATGATTGTGATGCACCTCCTCTTCTTGTGTGCCACTGAATCTGGGAGGGCGCCATCTGAGCCTCTTCTGGATGTTACCTTACAGTTCTGGGCTTAAAAACACGTTTTGGACCCTTCTGCTAGGCAACAGCTCCTGCGCGTTTCCACCAAGATCATCTTCCTTTCTTTCTACACCGGTTTATTCTCATTCTCACTCAACCCCTGCAGCCACTGGCAGCCAAGACAAGGCCCCTCAGGGCCTCCTTGCAGCAGCAGCCTCTCTACCAATGCTTGGCTGCGGCTTCCCCCCCAGCCAGCCTTGCCTCACAGTCCAGTTTGATGTGCTTGGCAAAGAGGGTGTGGATCTCCGTCAGGGAGCAGCTGAGCCGCCCGGCGTTGACGTCCACCAGGTCTTGCAGGGAGTACATGTCATCGTTCTCCACAAAGTGCTGCCGGTCCTGCAGCTGGAGGGAGGCACAGGAGTTTAGTTTGCCTGCGGGGGGGGGAGCGCGAAGAAGTGGGGAGGAGGGTGAAGGCTGAAAACGGGAAGGGGGTTGACACTCTCTCCTACCTGGGGAATTCAAGCACCCCCAATCCAACTGCGCCCACCCCCTGCTTTCTCTGACCTGGAGCAGCAGCCGAGCTTCCATGGCCTCCTTGCAGGTGATGAAGTACGGCTTCATGAGTAGGATGTCCTGACGCAGTTTCTGGAGGGGGGAAGAGACCGCTGGCTGGAGAACCTGACCAAGAAGTGGTTGCCCACCCACGGCTCAGGACCCGATGCTTTGGAATCCCAGGGCCCTCTGAGCCCCCCGAGGCGTTCTAGGCCCACTCCCAGCCCTTCCAATACTCACCCGGATCTCTACCAGCTCCTCAACGTAATTGAAGAGAAGAGGGTTGATCTCCCGCAATTTGAGGACTGGCCGGGACACCATTAGCACCAAGTAGCGCATGCTACACCGAGAGACCTGAAAATCGCATTGGCCTCCTGAAGCAGACAGTAGACACACACTGCAGGGAAGGCCTGCGACTAAATGGCCCCGTAGGGCCTCAGAGGGGATCTGGCCTGCCCCACTCCAGGATGAACGGAGCACTCTGTGTGAGACGTGGTCTGGGCAGGGCAGTTCCTCTCTGCCTCCCCTGGACAATGGGGCTCCATAGAAACCATCCTCACTCACATAGTGAGGAAGATGGTAAGCGCCCAGTCCAATGAAAACACATGTGTATTTCATCCAAGCACAAGACACGGAAGGGGGTGCTCTACAAAGCTTCTCACATCCCATCACTGTTCTGCCCCACAGTCTAGGCAGCTGGTGCCCTCCAGTTTGGTCTGGACAACCATTCCACATCACCTTAGCTGGCTAGGATGTCAGGGGAGGATGGGAATTATGGCTCAAAACAACTGAAGAACAGTGTGTCCTTCAGACTGGTTCTTCTGTTGGTCCACAGAACATGACACAGGCACATTTCATTCCCCACACCAGGCTGTGTGGAAGGGCTCCCCGACTTCAGACCTCACGTCACCCCCTCTAGTTGGGGGAAACTTCATCCACCCCAAGCTCCGCTTACCTTGCGGGGCTCAAAGTCCCAGTTGTGGATGACCCTGGCCGGGATGACAGCTTGATCATTCCAGTGGCAGCTGCTGCAGTAATAGAGGCCTGTGTAGTCACACTGCCGAGCCTCACCTGGGATTCCACCTATAGCAGGAAGAGCAGAAGTCAGGTAAGCAGCAAGGCATGGAGTCCTTGGGAAGGTCCCAGTTGCTGGGACAATAAAGAACCATCTTACTATGGGGTCTCCCCTGCCCCATCAGTGCCCTCCAGAAAGGGCAGCCCAAAAGTCGCATCTGCTCACGAGACCCAAGTGGCCAGAAATGGCCCTTCCCAAGCCTTTTGGTGCAGAAGAGCCTGGACTGAAGCGAGGCCTCCTGGCGAGCGAAGTAGGAGCTCCGCCTGGGGCAGCTTCCGATTCAGTCTCCCTCCTCCCTGCCAGAGCTTACGGAGAGAGATGGGTGCCCGGCACTCGGCACAACGGTAGTCCTGGCTGTCCAGCCCCGTCTCCGGGCAAATGCTCAGCTCGTATTCGGCCTGGTGGCTGACCTTAGAGCGCACACATGGCTTGGTGACGAGGTTCAGGCACTTGCTGTGGCAGCGATAGGAACAGCCTGGGAGGAGGGCGAAGGAAGCACCACGCTGACCCGAGCCCAGAGGCTGGGCAGGAAAGCCAGTGCCCCTCCTTGCCAGAACCAGGCTCTGTAGCTAGGCGGGAGGAAGGGGGGAATGCTCACCTGTGCAGGTGTACCAGGTCTGGAGAAGACCCCAGATGACAGTGCTGCACTTGTCGCAGGTTTGCTTCACTCCCTTGCTCTTCTCCTTGTAGAAGCGATGCTCTAGGATCACCCTGATGTTGGGCTCATCCTCACTGGGGTCCTGCGGGGGGGGGGTAGGGGGGCGGTTACAACCCTTTGTCCTCTGAGCCAAAAACCCCCTCCACAACCCCCAGAATCGTGGCAGGGGGGCTGGGGCCATTCAGCTAAGGGGAGAGGAGAGGAAGCCCTGTCCTCTCCTTGGAGGGCTGCAAGGCCTCCCAAGAATCCAGATGTTTGA